AGACAGAGTCTTACTCTGTCGCCCAGGCTGGAGTGCAGCACGCAATCTCGGCTCACTGCAACTTCCACCTCTCCGCCTCCCAGGTTCAAGCGATTCTCCTGCCTCAGCGTGCCGAGTGACTGGGACTACAGGCACGTACCACCATGCCCAGCTAATTTTTGTATTTTTAGTAGAGACAGGGTTTCATCATGTTGGCCAGGCTGGTCTTGAACTCCTGACCTCAGGTGCTCCACCCACCTCGGCCTCCCAAAGTGCTGGGATTACAGGCGTGAGCCACCTCGCCCAGCCTGTCATGGAATTTAAAAAATAAACAGGGCAGGTGCAGTGGTGCATGTCTGTAATCCCAGCACTTGGGAGGCTGAGGCAGGAGAATCGCTTGAACCAGGAAAATGGAGGTTGCAGTGAGCTCAGATCGCACCACTGCATTCCAACCTGGCCGACAGAGCAAGACTCTGTCTCAAAAAAATTAAAATAAATTTAAAACTAAATAAATATCCCAAAGGCTCTTAAATAAGAGAACATTTTCAATGATCCATATGAAAAGAATGGATTGAAGTGGAATGATCCGATGGAAATTATCTTTTTTTTTTCTTGGAGACAGAGTCTTGCTCTGTTGCCTAAGCTGGAGTGCAGTGGTGCGATCTTAGCTCACTGCAGCCTTCTCCTCCCAGGTTGAAGCAATTCTCCAGCCTCAGCCTCCCGCATAGCTAGGGTTACAGGCGCCCTCCACCACACCTGGCTAATTTTTTTTGTATTTGTAGCAGAGACGGGGCTTTGCCATGTTGGCCAGGCTGGTCTCGAACTCCTGACCTCAGATGATCCACCCACCTCAGCCTCACAAAGTGCTGGGATTACAGGCGTGAGCCACTGCGCCTGGCCGGAAACAACCTATTAAAAAAGACCAATGATCTGTGTTGCCAGGTCCAGTTTGCCTCAAAGCCCCACCCTGCTCCAGGGATTGGGGAGGCTGGCCCAGTCCCCCTTTTTGGCAAAGGAGAGAGGGGCAGCATGGAGCACAGTGTCTTTCCCCAGCTGCATGTTGTGGCTCCAGTGGCCTGGGGACAGTCCCAATGGCTCTGGGAACCCTGAGGTGGCAGGCCTACAGCTCTAACTCCATCTTCTTTCTGTCACTGCGCCCCCTCGACCCTTCCCCTCAGTGATTTGCATAACCAAATGATCAAGAGCATCAAAGGATTGCCCTGGCAGGGCGAGGACCCCCGTAGGCTTCTCCAGTCCCTCAGTCGGCTCCAGAAACCCCGCGCCTTCATCCTGTGAGTCCCCCCTTTCCAAGGCCCTGCTTACAAGTGCAACAGCCGCCTCCTCCTACTCCCGCGACTGCCTAAGTTGCATCAGCCACTAAAACCACAGTGCTGTCTCATGGCTCACCCCCCCCCCCCCCCCCGTCACTAAATGCCAATCAGTAACTCCCCTGGCCGCTGTCTGCACTGTAGCCCAGGCACCGGCGCTTCCCAGCACATGGCGCAGCCTCCCAAGCGCACTCCTTCCCAGAGTCATCTGATTTGCCACCTGCAAACACGCCGTCCTCCGTCTCCTCCGCGTGCCTGTCCGACTTGCAGAGCAAAGCTTGCCCCCGCCTTTGCCACTGTGAGCTTGCAGAGAAGCCGTCTGAAGCAGGGAATGCCATTTCTCCAGGGGACGGCCCTGCGCGCTGCAGATGGCCACGTGAGCCGGTTGGGAGAGCCCCGAAGGTGCATAAACCGGCTTGGGATCCCGACTGTTAGCGCACCGTGGAACCCAAGCGTTCTCTGCTTTTGGCCTCCAAATGGGGCAGTGACTCTCATGCTTCCATTATGCTGACCAGCACCAGGCAGGCAGCAGCCTCAGCTGACAGGACATCCACATGCGGTCACCACATCCCGCCTTTTAGTAGCCATTGGGACATGGGCTGGCTGAGTGCAAGGAACTGCACCTGCATGGGAACCCATTTATTTATTTATTTATTTTCTTTTTTAAGGGATGGGGGTCTCATTCTGTTGCCCAGGCTAGAGCGTGGCAGTGACGCGATCACCGCTCCCTGCAGCTTCGACCTCTTGGGCTCAAGCAATCCTCCTGCCTCAACCTCCAGAGTAGCCGGAGCTACAGGCGAGCACCACTACACCTGTCTAATTTTATTGTCTGTAGAGGTGGAGTCTTGCTATGTCATAGCCCAGGCTGCCAGGCTGGTCTCAAACTCCTGGGCTCACGTGATCCTCCTGCCTTGGCCTCCCAAAGCACTGAGATTACAGGCATGAGCCACCACGCCCAGCGGGAGCCTGTTTCAAACTTTTGTTCTTTTTTATTTTTTGTTGTTTCGAGGTGGAGTCTCACTCTGTCACACAGGCTGGAGTGCAGTGGCTCGATCTTGGCTCACTGCAACCTCCATCTCCCGGGTTCAAGTGATTCTCCTGCCTCAGCCTCCCAGGTAGCTGGGATTACAGGCCTACGCCACTACACCTGGCTAATGTTTTTGTATTTTTTAGTAGAGATGGGTTTCACTATGTTGGCCAGGCTGGTCTCAAACTCCTGACCTCAAATGATCCGCCCACCACAGCCTCAGACTTTTGTTCTTGTTATGCCTTATTTTACCCCACAGGGACCCAGGGGAAACTGAATGCAACCTTGAAGGGCTAAGCATCTCACAGACCTGCAAGATACACCTCCTTAGCCGGCCTTCAGAAGGCACCAGGCCTTTCGAATAAATATTTACTTATTTTATTTTCCCCTTGGTCTCTAAGATTCCATAAGGTATCTGTGAACACAGGGGCCGTCCCCTCCTTTACCTCAGCCAAAAGAGCAGCTTTGAGTTTGGGGTCTTTTTTGAGACGGTCTTGCTCTGTTGCCCAGCCTGGAGCACGGTGGCATGATCTCGGCTCACTGCAACATCCGCTTACTGAGTTCGGGCGATTCTCCTGCCTCAGCCTCCCAAGTAGCTGGGATTAGAGGCATCCGCCACCACGCCCGGCTAATTTTTGTATTTTTAGGAGAGACGGGGTTTCACCATGTTGGCCAGGCTGGTCTTGAACTCCTGACCTCAGGTGATCTGCCTGCCTTAGCCTCCCAAAGTGCTGGGATTACAGGTGTGAGCCACGGTGCCTGGCCAGCTTTGGTTTTCTTCTTTCGCACCAGCATGAGCCTGAAAGGAGCTCCTACCCAGGCCCCACTTTGGTTCTTTTGCAGGGCAAGTCCCTGCCCTGCCGTGCCCTGCCAGTGGAGAGTTCCAGAAGGGCCTCCGTGTGCCTGCTTGGCATCTGCCAGCACATGGCAAAGACAGCCTGGTCACCTGGTCTCCACCAGGACAGCTCAGCCTCCCTCGGTACCCCGCTCAGGGTATCCTGCCATTATTTGGGGGTTATGTCAGTTCATCCATAGCGAGTCCTGTTCAACGCACGCCCCACCCTGTAGATTAGCCAATCCTTCCTACTTCTCAGACATCCAAATGGCCCCCAGACCAAATGTTCTTGTCAGCCTTGGGGCAGCCACCAGCAGAGTCAGGCTGCTGCTTTCCCAGGGAAACTGGTGTCCCAGACAGTGGCGGAGGCACGCCGAGGAATGCGGCGTGGAGAGGCGGCGGCGGCTCTGTTGCACTTGACACCTTCTCACTCTTTGTCCCCTCTCTCTGTCTCTTAGTCTAACCCGCAAGGCGTGGCTTGCTGAACTAACCCAAATCCCGACACTGTGTTCCTTTTGTTCACAAAACCATTTTTAATATTTTGACAGGAAAAGTAAAGGTATCAAACAAAAGCAGATCATTCCAAAGGTAAAAAAAAAGAACACACCCCGCGCGACACATTCCAAGACGTCCCACTTCTCTGCCCATCTTGAGAACTGTCCCTCCTGCAGCTTCTTTTATTTCCTGCTCCTTCCCACTATCTCCCCCTCCCTCCAAGGAAAAAAAATAATGTTCTCGTGTTGAGGTGATTTAGAGCTGTCTCTTTCTGGATCTCCCAGAAGCAGTGTCTGAGACGGGGATATTTACACACAGCGGCGTATGGCGGGGGGTTTGCAGGAGAAGGCAGAGAGCAAGGGGGAGGGAGGAAGCCAGAGGTGTGAGCACAGCTGAAGTCTGACCTCAGTCTGGTCCCACGGGGAGTTCTGGCGATTCATAGCGCCACAGGGCTCATTCTGCCCCCAGGTAGTGGGACATCTTCAGTCCCTGGCTATGGGGCGGCTTCCAGACGGGACAGAGCACCTCCCAGGGGCTCCGTCTAGTTTCCACATGCAAGCGCAGTCATTTAGGAAATTTGCGAAAAGAGTAAGAATAGCCTCGCAGTCTAGTTAGCAGATGGGACGGGGCTAGTTCCTCTTGTCAGCAATAGAACTGGCTGACGCAGGAGGGGGGCCTGTCCAGTGATCTCATGCAGAGGACAGAAAGGACCTGGCCCTTCTTGGCTCAAGCAACGTAAATTGTACGAGCTGTGCAGAGGAGAGGGACGGCCAGGTTCAGTAGCACTGGCTTCCTCTCCTAACCCAGAGGAAGAGGAAATGGGGCAGCCACGCAGGCTGTGAGAGAGGCTGTCATCAGCCCTCCCGGAACCAGCGCTGTGTGCAAGGTGCAACCCCAGCTCATTCCACTGGGCCGGCACCAGCAGCGCGGTCCTGAGACCAAACCTAAGAGCTGCCGCCCGGGCGCTTGCTGCGGGGACGCCATTCTGCCCTGGCTCCGGGGACGCCTGTGACGCCTCCCCGTGCCCGTGTGGGCTGTGGGAGGGCAGGCCGGACCCCATGTGTCTGTCCTAGAACCTGCTGGACTCCAAGTCCCTGAAACTCATCATCAGCATGACCCTGCACGACCGCACCACCAAGTCCTTATTGCATCTGCACAAGAAGAAAAAGCCACCGAGCATCAGCGCCCAGTTCCAGGTAGGCAGAGCAGGAGGGGTGGGAGGCGGCAGTCAGCTCAGCCACATGCTTGTGTGGCTTCCCCCAACACCCTGCACAGACAGCTCATCAGTTACTCCAAGGGCTCCTACTGAGGCACCACAAGCAGCTGGGGCCCGATCTTTCTCTTCCAAGCACTGCAGGGAGTGTGTGTGTGTGTGTGTGTGTGTGTGTGTGTGTGTGTGTGTGTGTGTGTGTGTGTGTTTGAGACGGAGTCTTGCACTGTCGCCCAGGCTGTAGTGCAATGGCACGATCTCGGCTCACTGCAACCTCCGCCTCCTGCGTTCAAGCAATTCTCCTGCCTCAGCCTCCCGAGTAGCTGGGACTACAGGCGGGCACTGCCACGCCCAGCTAATTTTTTTTGTATTTTTAGTAGAGACGGCATTTCACCATGTTGGCCTGGATGGTCTTGATCTCCTGACCTCATGATCTGTCCGCCTCGGCCTCCCAAAGTGCTGGGATTACAGGCCTGAGCCACCGCACTCAGCCTGTTTTGTTTTTGAGACATGGACTTGCTCTGTCACCAGGCTGGAGTGCAGTGGCGTGATCTCAGCTCAACGCAACCTCCGCCTCCCAGGTTCAAGCGATTCTCCTGCCTCAGCCTCCCAAGTAGCTAGGTTTATGGGTGTGCACCACGACGCCTGGATAATTTTTTACATTTTTAGTACAGACAGGGTTTTGCCATGTTGGCCATCCTCGACTCAAGTGATCTGCCCACCTTGGCCTCCCAAAGTGCTGGGATTGCAGGCATGAGCCACCATGCCCAGCCCACTCTGGGGTTTTTAGTCTCCCTGGTTGTGACAGCCAACTAGGCCACCATTTGTCCCTGAGGAGCAAAATTATCCCTGGTTGGTTAAGAATTACTGAGTTAAAAGAATCATCAGTTAATGTGGCCACTGAGCTATGTCCTCAGGTCATATTTCCCTTTTTCCCTGGCTGCCAGGAGGCTCAGGGACACATTTTATTTGTTTGTTCATTTGTTTTACTTAGGGCATCCACCAGCTGCCAGCCCTCTTCCTTAGCTTTTTTGTTCTTTTCCTCTTTCCTCAATCTGATTGTTCTGTTCCCACCTCGGCTTTTTTGGTAACCACCTAATATGGGAGCTCCTTCAAATCCTTTTTGGAAACAGCAGGCCAGGGACAAAAACCATGACATTCGGCCAGGTGAGGTGGCCCACGCCTGTAATCCCAGTGCTTTGGGAGGCCGAGACAGGTGGATCATCTGA